GGAGAATATACCCACGCCTAGAGCTCTGATGGTGCTTGAAAAAATATTCTTTAAAAAATCCACACCTAGAGCTCTGATGGTGCTTGAAAAATTATTCTTTAAAAAATCCACACCTAGAGCTCTGATGGTGCTTGAAAAAATATTCTTTAAAAAATCCACACCTAGAGCTCTGATGGTGCTTGAAAAAATATTCTTTAAAAAATCCACGCCTAGAGCTCTGACGGTGCTTGAAAAAATATTCTTTAAAAAATCCACGTCTAGAGCTCTGATGGTGCTTGAAAAAATATTCTTTAAAAAATCCACGTCTAGAGCTCTGATGGTGCTTGAAAAATATTCTTTTAAAAATCCACGTCTAGAGCTCTGATGGTGCCTGAAAAAATATTCTTTAAAAATCCGCATATTAAGCGTAGAGAGTCCTGCCAATAATATCCTTTAAGTTTCGAGATTTTTTCAAAAATTTTCTACAAAATATCCACGCCTTTTGCTCAAAATGTTTTTCTGAGCTTAGCTTCTTTTGCCAGACCTTCCATAGGTCGTCATTAATAAATGATACGCACCTCCACCCATGCATATGAGAAGGTACTAACAGGCCCCCACTCGACTTAATGGCGCGTAAATGCAATTAAGTCTGTGTGAAATAGAGGAGGGCAGCATACCGATTTGTTTATCTGTGACATGAAATGTGACGTAGATATGTAGGTAAATAGATAGATATGCAAAAAACATCGAAGGTTGGTTTTTGTTCAATCCATTCAACAAATTGTTGTAGTTGTGCTCACATAACATCTGTCTGCATTCGATTATTGTAACCGTAATCTATTCATTTGTTGTTGTTGTCAAATTAATTAAATTTGTTGTTGTGTGGTGGCGTGAGGGTGGGGGTTTATCAGATAACAACACTTAATTTATTGTGGATTGATATACCGCTTTCATATGCATATTCGAAAAAAAACTGGTAAATCGGATTCGATTTTGATACAGCAGGTGTTCGTTATTACAGCAGATCATTCGATATTAAAAAATTTTTGTTTTAAAAATATTATTTCAAGCGTGGATTTTTTAAAGAAATTTTGAGAAGCTGGGCGTGGATTTTTTAAAGAAATTTTGGGAAGCTGGGCGTGGATTTTTTAAAGAAATTTTGGGAAGCTGGGCGTGGATTTTTTAAAGAAATTTTGGGAAGCTGGGCGTGGATTTTTTAAAGAAACTTTGGGGAGCTGGGCGTGGATTTTTTAAAGAAATTTTGGGAAGCTGGGCGTGGATTTTTTAAAGAAATTTTGGGAAGCTGGGCGTGGATTTTTTAAAGAAATTATGGGAAGCTGGGCGTGGATTTTTTAAAGAAATTATGGGAAGCTGGGCGTGGATTTTTTAAAGAAATTATGGGAAGCTCATCAGGACTATAGGCGTGGATTTTTTTGAAGAATTTTTTTCAAGCACCATTAGAAGTCTAGGCATGGAATTTTTAAAGAGTATTTTTTAAAAAATTAACAGGACTATAGGCGTGGATTTATAAGCGAATATTTGTCAACCTCAATGTGAGCTCTAGGCCTGAAGAATATTTTTGGCGTGGAATTTTAAGAATATTGAAGCCCCTTTAGGCTCTAGGCGTAGATTTGTAAAGAATTTTTGGAAGCCCTTCAGCGCTCTAGGCGTAGATTTAAAAGAAGACTTTTCGAAGCCCTTTTAGAGCTCTAGGCGTGGATTTTTTAAGAGTATTTTTTGTTAGGAAAATATTTTTGTGACCTTCTGAGGCTTAAATTTTGTAAAAAAAAAAATGTTTTTGTACGGCATTTGAGACTAAAAGTATGGATTTTTAATGGCAATATTGTTGTAGATCCATTTATGTTTTTAAATAATAATTTGGTAGGGCTTTCACGGCTAAAGACGTAGATACTTTGAATAATATTTTACCAACGTCATCCGAGATCTAGGTGTGCATTTTTTGGAATATATTTTTTAGGTTTTTTCAAACCCATAAGTCAAGAAGGTTCATTTATGACCCCCGAAAGCTCTCAACTAAAGTAACTTGTCGACAGACATGTCCATGTGGAAATATAGTGTTTCATCACGAAAAGGAACACAAAAATAACAACCAGAAACACTTAACGTTAAATGTCTGACTGACTGACACACACACGTTGAGTACATAAATATTTTCCCCATAATTAGTAAGATTTTCATCTCTGTGTGACAGTCTTTTCATTTTTCGTTGGTGTGTGTCGTTTTGTTTCCCTCCATCAACAAAAAACCCACCCGCCGAACCCCCACTGAATCCCGGTCATAAATGCAACAGTTCTAGTTAAACACACACATATTTGTGTGTGTGTAGGTGGTTCTGTGTGAAAAATCTGATCTGCTTGGTAGGGGGTTGGGTTCTACTACTAAGTAGTGGCAGTAGCTGCCGGTAGCAGCAACACTTTTCATATGAATATTTAAATACTTGTCTGTTCGCTGCTACTGCTGTCGTTTTTTTTTAATTTTTTGTTAAAGCCATTAAAAAACGAAACACTAAACGATTTCTTAAAATAAAAACTCTGAGGATGAGATGATGTTGACAATTTAGGTCAAAATGCCTGATGACAAAAAAAACGACGAAGTAAAAAAATCTAGCAATGCATTCTCACAAAGTGTACCTTATTCTATATGTATATGCATTATGGAGATGGACATTGGGGTGTAATGAAAAGGCAAATGTGAAAAAAATAAATTGCCAAAAATCTTGGGTCCTGATATTTTCTTGAAATCTCAAAATGCCAAATAAATTTTTATTTAATATAAAGTCATTGTCATCCACCCTATTATACAAAATAATTTTTTTTTTTTTCATATTATTTTCTTTTCAAAAAAACAGCTATCAAGGAAAGTTGTAAAATGCGTTCATCTTTAAAGCACACATATATATATGTTGTGTATGTAGCATATATTGGAAGAGATATTGCTTGTTAATCAAGTCAATAGCCGGCCAGTAGCCAGCAATAAACCACATGTGTCGCCACATTCAGAAAAGTTCCGGAAAAATTTTTATGGACAAGAGTTTGGCCAATGGCCAAACATAGGAGAAGAAGAACATTCATTTAATAACACAATGTTGACATTAAGACCTATCATCTTTGATTCATTGTGGCATACAAATAGACATGCATACATACATACATATTTAGTATTGAAACATTTATTTTTTACCCCATTTAAAATATCTGTTATTTATGAGATTTTTACAGGGCTATTCTATCCACCTACAACTGTGTAAATTAACAAGACATGATAAATAAAAAACAATGATGATCGTTTATTGAGGACAACAACAAAATAATACACATTATTAAATGTTATAAAGAGGCTGTTAAATCAACAATATTAATTAAAAATCTCACTTTTCATTTGCATGCCCTTGAATAGATATAAAAACACACACACATTTTTGCTTTATAAGTCCTTGAGATCCTAAAATGTTATATAATAACCATAGATTTTTGCTTTACAAGTCACTAGGATTCCAAATTTACGGTTATGGCTTGGAAGTTACGCGTCTAGTTTGGCTCAAATGACGTTCCAAAAAAATCCTTTTTTTTTCAAACACCTCTCAAAGGTGATTGAAATTTTTTATTTAAAACATTCCGTCCTAGATGTCTAATGACATTCCAAAAAATTTTTTTGAATACATGTCTAGAGCTCAAATGGAACCCAAAAAAAACTCTTTAAAAATCCACGCCTAGAGCTTGAATTTTGTTATAAAAATCAAATTTTCCTCGAAAAAATTATTTTTAAAAATCGAGTCTGATCGGATATTGATTGAAAATTTGTTCTTTAAAAAAATCCACACAAAGATTGCATGAATTTTTTTAATTAATTTCTTACTTGATTTTCTTTAAACCCTTTTCTGGCTTGAAACTTCTCGCCTATGGCTCTGCTTGGAAAAATCTTTAAAAATCCATTATTAAGCTCGAAAAAATGTTTTAATTAATTTTTCGCTTGAATTTTTTCTAAAGAATGTTTCGGAAAGTTTTCCTTAAAAAAACACAATCCATGAGCTCTGAAGTTGCATAAAAAAATCTTTAAAAATCCATTTTCATTAAAGAGTCCACGCATAGATGGCTAATAATTTTTTCTTAAAATACATTTTTCCTGCTTGAAAAGTTTTTCTTTAAAAAATCAAATCCAAGAGCTCTGAAGTTACTTAAAAAAATTCTTTATGATTTTTTTAATTCACGTCTAGAGCTCAAAGAGAGCTTTTAAAGAGTTTTTTAAAAAAAGGTTTTCAAAGCTCTAGACGTGAAATAAAAATCAGAGCTCTCGGCTCAGAAAAAAATTTAAATCCATTTTTTAAATGGATTTATCTTTAAAAAAAATCCAAGCCTCGAGATCTAATGGTGCGTGAAAAAATATTCTTCAAAAAATCCACGAGTAGAACTTCGGTGATTTTTGAACAATTTTTAAAATACCCAGACATAGAGCCCCAGAGATTATTCAGTAATTCTTTTTTAAAAAAAAATCAGTCTAGATCCAAGACCGTCCTGAAAAAATAAGCAATTTAAAAGTTCCACACCTAAAGCCCTGATCGATTTTGAGGTTATTATTTTTCTTGTTCCTTGAAAATTTAATTTCATTTTTTTTACATTATATTTCTTAAAAAATCCATGCCTAGAGGACTGATGTTCCTTGAAAATTTTTTCTTCAAATATACTTGAAAAAATATTATTTAAAAAATCTAAGCCTAGAGCCCAGTTGGTGTTTGAAAAAAATTCTTTAAAAAATTTACGCTTCGAGTTCTGATATTGTTTGCAAAAAATTCTTTAAAAAAAATTACGCTTCGAGCTCTGATAGTGCTTGCAAAAATATTCTTGATAAAATCCACGCCTGAAGTTCTGAAGGAGCTTGCAAATATAGCAAGCTCCTTCAATGAACTCAATGAAATTTTTATTTGTTTTTTTTTAATATTTTAATTACATATATATATACATATATATATATATATATATATTTTTGTCAAAAAATTTACTCACCATGATAATAATCCCAGGGCAACTAATACAGCAGCAGCACCTTGAACTGCAGGATTTTTCGGTAGCTCCTTTAGCTGTTGCAGCTTACTATCCAATTGTAAGCGATTGCTTATAGCAGCCTTTATCCTTTGCATTTTTGATGGAATATTTTTTTTAATAAAATTTTCTCAAAATTATTTTTTTTGTTTTGTTTATTTTTTTAACTCCACACAAACACAAATATTAAGACAATTTGCTGTAAAGTTGTAAAATCCGTTTTTTTTATCTTCAGGACTTTATTTGTTTTATGTTTTTAAGAAACCCCATTTGAATGGCGATACACTTTCTATATGAAATAAAAAAATCAATGGATGTTATATTAGATATTTTTTCCTCTGATGAATCAATTTGAAACAATGACAACAACAACAAGATTACAGAAAATGAAAATATACATCACGCGAATATTGGAAAAATAAACAAATCAAAAGTCACAAAGAATGTTTTTTTTATATTTTCTTTTTTTCATTTTCAAAAATTCATAATGGCAGTCTGACAATCCGCAAAAGAACCGCGTAGCTTGTTCCGATTTGTGTTGTGTTGTTGCTTTTTGTCTTCCTATTTTGTTTGATGTCTCGTGCTGTTGTTTTCTTTTATTTTTTGTGGTTCTATTTAAAAGAAGAACAATTTGCAATTTTGTTGGGGCCAGAGGAAACCCCCACCACCCACCATCCACATTTGCAGCCTCATCGAATATCGACATCATCACCACCAGCCATCAGGCCGGCAATCCGCGGTGTGTGTACGTGTATGACTTTTTTGGGGATATTTTATTTTAAATGTTGTTGTCGTTTTTTTTTTCTGTTGTTGTCTTCAAATGGCATTTTACCAAAAACGCAAAAAATATGAAATATTTAAAACGGAAAAGATCTAAGTTTAGCAAACGAAATGAAAAAAAAATGGTTCTACTGAAGAGGCGCTAAATGCAAGCGCAAATGTGTCATTTCATTCATGTGAATTCGCACAATATTTTTCACAAGAAAAAAGCCACAATCCATTACCCTGTGGATTTCTTTGATATCCTTTCTAGCCTTCTAACACCACCCCTGCTCCTCCTCAATAATGGATTTCTGTTCGTTTTAGCGTAAATTTCCCCTTTACGCAAAAAGGTTAAAGGTTAAACGCTGTGTGTGGTGTTTTTAATTCAAACCTCGTTAATAATGAATATCCTTGGTCAAAGGACACCGCTGAGTATTTATTTTTATTTTGCAAATTTTTTTTTCAATACAAACATAAATGGCAGCAACAAAGGGAGAGAGATTCAAGGCAACAACACAGCAGAATTGAAATAGGAGAGAGAGAGAGAGAAATTGTTTGGGTCTCAGAATGAAGAGTTTTCTGAGAGAGGTCCTTTAAAAAAGAGAAAGGAAAGTGGTAAAGTCGGACTGGACCGACTATATGACACCCTTCAACACTTTGGGTATATTTATTGACATGAAATAGAACGAACTTAAATATGCGATCTTTATCTATATGTGAACCGGCTATCATCAATCCATACACTTGGCATTCTGTAACCTATGGTAAATTTCATTTCATTCGGGCAGATTTAGATAGATACCTGTGTATCGGACAAACATTAGGAGTTGGATGCACAATTTACCTAAGATCGGACGAAAATATATATGGGACCTATATCTCAATCTGAACTGATTTTTCCCAATTGCAATACGGTTTGTCAGTTGTGCCAAATTTCAAAAAAACTAACATATAAAAAAATAATTAAAATCATCGTTATGTTCGAACGGATCGATCAGCATTTTTATAAAAAACATATTCTGATAAAATACTTCTTATTCACCAGTAAGCTGGAATACAAAAGTACAGCCAATTTGGTGAGAAAATAAAAACCGAATAAGTCTTTTTTATAGTCTTTTTTATATGGAAGCTTTGCCAAAATATGAACCTACACTGACATTCTTCTACAAAGAAGCAGAAATGCCAAATTACAATAAAATCGGAAATTAGGTTCAAACTTTTCAAATAACTAAAATATGCCGGGATCTTTATATGGGGGCGGATTTGACGAAACAGTAAATTTTGTAAAGATCCCGAATTACTTCAAAATACCGAAAATCTAAGTCTTACTGTCGGAATGTACTTCTTAAAGACACTCAGGTTGGAAATTTGACCAAGGACATTGAATATACCGAAAATGTAAAAACGTGAACTTATATTGAAAATGTAGAAGAAGTTTTTTACACACCATAATACCGGAATGCCAAATTACGCTACTTTTTTGTATTAAAATACAGTCAGGGGTCCATCAAAATACCTGGTAAGGAGCTGCACCTTTATATGTGGACTATATCCAAAGATCGTCCAAATGTTTCTAATATCTTGTAGGAAGATTTTCCGCCCAATGAGAACTCAAAATATTAAATTCGAACCAACACGGTTGAAAAATATGTCATCGATCGGGGTTTTAAGTAGAGGATATGCCATGGTAAATTACTGCCGAAAGAAAACGAAATACTAAACTACAGATACACAGGTTGCAGAATTTCGAATACGATCTTGAACATAACGAAAATAACGAATGATTGTTGCATGGATACTATGTAGAAAATGGGGATGAATATTGAAAAGCCAAAAAGTCGAAATCAACTTTTGATCTTTGAGAAAATCGTAAAGCCGACTTTTCAAGATCGATTTTTTTATAAATACGTGGTTTATTATCCCAAAGCCCAAATTGCCTAAAAATTACACATTCCAGAACTTTGTTTTATCTGTTGACAACAATTTATATAAAAAATTAAATTGTTAGTCGATTTTGCATTGGAAAGTCCATTTATATTGAAAATATCCTGTAAAACGTTGTAGTTTACCCACTAAGGTCCATTAACCTAAAATTACAGTCCCATATTAATGCTAAAATAAAGAAACTTTGGTTGGAAAATATGCTGCTGGTAGCAGAAAATCAGATTGGAAAAATCCAAGAAAATGCTCTAGAACCATCAAAATGGAGGTTATGCCCAAAGATCCGCCGATATTTATAAATTTTGTTATGTTAATCCCAATGATATTTTGGCATGATCGCTGCTAAAATCGATGCTCGAAAAAATATTCTTTAAACAATTTTCTAGCACTGATGTCAATGTCCTAGGAAAATTTTCTAATCTGAGTGCTGGTAGTTGGGTATTTAGTTTTCTGCTGTTAGCAATTGTCTATGACAGTGTCCCTATATCAAAATCCCGGACAATTTAAGGTATTTTAAATGTGCACTTCATGTTGGAGGATCTTTTTAATTTTTCCATCGGTGTCAGCCTTGTCAATGATGGCTATTCTCTGGTTATGTGGAACCATCTACTCTCAGTCGTTGGAAGAGAACTTGAAGACTCGCAAATATATCCGACTTTCTTCTTCCAAATGGGGGGCTTTCCACTATCCTTCTTGGCCACTACCGATACATACGAGATCAAAGACCGAGCTGCCAGAAAAATTTCTTCCCAGCTTATTGCTGATCCTCAGTCGATTTCATCCTGTTCATTTTTATAAAAATTCCATTTTATCCAAATTCCATATTTCCATAAGAATACATTTCTGTCTTCTTCAAGAATGCCTTTCCTTAATTCTTCTATAGGAATACCTTTCAGCCTTCTGTAAGAAACTCGTTCAGGTTCTCAAGGGAAATCGCTTCAATTTTCGGTGAGAATAAATTAAAATATTCAAAAACCTCGTTTTCCCTATGAAAATATCCTCCATAAAAGTTCGTTAGTTTCCAAGCAATATTCTGCGAAATTTTTATTTACCTCACATATTATGAAAATTGTAGTGTAGGATTCACAAAAGATATTAAAAAGAGTAGTAGTAGATAGAGAGAGAGAGAAAGGAAGGGGAGATTAGTTTCCTGTTGCAAATTGTCGACAATAAGAGCATCTGGTGTGTGCGTAGGAAACAAAAAAGGAAATAGAGAACATAAAAATTATAGAGTAAGGTTGGGAAAAAAGGACATCATAAAGAGAACGAGAGCGAGAGAGAATAATAGATAAATCCTAGTTTAATTGTTTTGTTGTTTGGTATTTTTTTTCAGATAAATGCGTTTTTGTGTATTTAACAAATGGAAGGGAGAAAGGGGAGATGTAAACAAAAATATTTGGAAGAAACGTAAAACAAACCAAAAAAAAAATGAAAAACAAAATACGCAGACAAAGAGAAGCAAAAAAAAACAATTAGGAAAACAATATTTATTTTTATAATTTAAATGACTTTAATATTATATATTCCAAAAACACACTTGTTTTTTTTTTTATTATGTTTTTTTGTTTTTCAGAAATACTGAATTGCGTTGTATTTAAAATAAATAATGGAAAATGGCTATTGAACACTAATAAATGGTTCCTCGTCTTCTTTGTATTGTTCTTGGGTTTGGTGTGTTATTATTTAAAGCAATGTTGTTTCAATTTCAAATCCAAAAAAAATCAAAAGTTTATTTGCATTATTTAAAATAAAAAGTATTCATTAATTGACCACAACAGAAACAACAATAAATATTATTGTCTATTGGCTGATTTTCATCATTGAGCAAGTTGAGCTGACTACAAGCAGTCTAGCGGGATATTTCGTTGTCACTTCCTTACTTATGTTGTTGTTTTGTACTCCAAATTTTTGTAAGTTCATTAGCTTGAGGGTGGTGGATCAAATATTGAGGAAATATTGGAATGGGGCCGTCGAATATTTATATAATTTATTTATATTGAAAATTTATATCGAAGCTACATTTATACCTGAAGAGAGGATGTGATGATCTACAAATGCCGATCGAATACAAACCAATGACTCTTGCTTATCCTGCCATCGGCATCAGGCTTGAGACATTGCAGGTTACTGTGAGGACTTGTAAATATTTCCTACTCTCGTATTCCCAATGGCAGGCTTCTCAATATCCTTCTTGGCAACTATCGATGCATGCGAGGTCGAAGACTGAGTTGTTCTTAGCAACAAGTGTTTCTTAGAAGCCGGTTGTAATCTTAGTAATTGAAGCAGACCACTATCCGTCTTGGCCACTACCGATACATACGAGTTCAAAGGCTAAGCTACAAGAAAGATTTCTTTCCAGATGGTTGGTTGCTAATCCTTCGTCGATTTCATT